CCTTCAAAAGTAATAAAACTATTAAACCACCCCCTTGTTAGGATTAATTAAAAATCCGAAATCATCCCATGACTCATACAGAAATTTTATTAGGCAGCCCGAACTCAATGTTTCCCTTCTCCTCTCCTTCTCGATATATTTTTATCAATTTCAAAATGGATATTAGTTTTAGCAGTGTTAAAGTAAGTAATCAGTACGCTATCACAATATTCTGAAGTTTGGTATCGCACAGATCGATAAATTACAATAACTGAAATATCAGTGCCAATATTTCATATTTGTTTAAAACGGAAAAGATCCTTTTGTTATTACAATTTGTTTGGGGCGAACGGTGTTTCCCATGATATAAAATGATTTGTCCCTAGTTTGTTCAAGTTTTAGTTTTATTTCTTAAACATGAATCCGAAATTTCCTCTCAAAATTTAGGAAAAATTAATTTTAAGAAAAGTAGTTTAAATTTGCGCCGTACTGAAAAACACTAGTCACCTAGCGCAAAGATAATAGCAACTATACAAAGTTGCATCTTCTTACTGACAAGTGTTTATTATATTCAATTATCCAATTCAGCTATCTGTTTTAGAGAAAAAACCTTTAAAATCTCATCTGCAAAGAAAGAAGAATGATTTGCTTTATTTATGTTTCAAGTTCAAACATTGGGAATATATTAATGAAACTTCATGAGTAAATTAGACTTCCCATCGTGCTGGTATTTGTATGCATTACCGCAAACTTTTAAGGACAAACGTGGTTAAGGAAAATTAAACCCAATGTGTTAGTATGGCTGAAATATATCTAGAGGAGCCAAAAAAAAACCTTCCAATTTTAGTTGTCTGAGTAATTTCATTCTCTGTGGTGATGAATGAAACCAGTCCACATGATTCAACTCACTACAAAATATATTCAATGTAACGTAATTTATGCTTTTGTTAAACTAAATCGAATATTTTGGAGCAAATAATCAGATTTTGGGGCATGTGAAGAGAGTAAGTATCAGATTTGGACCAGGTGTACTGTGCCTTAATACAGTGAAATGAAATTGGGGTTAATAAATTAAATTGTTTAATGAAATGAAATTTGTTGTAATGAAATGAAAATTGTTAATAAATTGAAATTTGTTAATGAAATGAATTTGTTTAATGAAATGAAATTTGTTAATGAAATGAAATATTGTTTAAATTGAAATGAATTTGTGTAATGAAATGAATGTTTTAATGAAAATGAAAAAATTTGTTAATGAAATAAATTTGAGTTTAATGAAATGAAAGAATTGTTAATGAAAGGAAATTTGGTTAATGAAATGAAATTTGTTTAATGAAATAAATTTGGGGTTTAATAAATGAAATTTGGTTTAATGAAATGAAAATTTGTTTAAGAAATAAAATTTGTTTAATGAAATAAATTGTTTAATGAAATGAATTTGTTTAATGATGGAAATGAATTGTTAATGAATGAAATTGTTAATGAAATGAAATTTTTTTAATGAAATTGAAATTTGTTTAATAAATGATGAAAAAAAATTGATGAAATTCAAGGGAAGTGCACACCATAACTTCTACTTAAAACATTATCGTATTATTTAAATAAAAATTGAATTTTATTTTTAGTTAGTTAAATTAGTTATTTTTAGTTAAAAGATTTGTTGCGAGATAAATTCAAGATTATCTCAATCGCTCTTTGATATTCGGGGATTGTGGGATGTGGAGACGTATGGTTACACTTCGGTCTATCAGAGAATTCATTTTATCGAGGCAGTAAGTTGATCACTGCATGTAGAGCACTGGGGATAGTGGCCAAAATTTGTATATCATTTGCCTTTGCAAAAAGTTTTTATAACGAAAGCGAATATTTTCATACCACTCGTCAAAAACGCTCGTTGCTATCTGTATTCATAATTCAACTTGTACTCGTGTTAGGACAGACATCCCAGAGCTCAGGAAACGGTAAACGCATTTGACTTATCCACATAATACGTCTGTTTTTAACTTTTTTCACGTTGAATGGAAATAAAGGAATAAAAATAAAATATACCACATAGTTATATTAATTACATACTTGTCTTGCTGGCGACTAGAGGGAGAATGTTGGCTTGTACACACATTAGGTTGCTAGTTATAAAGTTTACTTGAATTATTTGATAAAAATTCGCTATACTGCGAGTTTAGTTGTAAGGGTGTCAAAGGGAGCAGCATGTGCACTTGATATTTGAAGATGGTGTGCAGTTTGCCTTCATCGTGCGTGGCTTCTTGAGATTTTCCTACCAATTTTTTTTTTTTTAAATATTCTTTGTAATGGTATCGAAACAAACTAAATTACTTTTGCAAACTGTACATTCCAGTTGCACTCGCTGAACTGTAATTTCCGAACGATTATCTGCAACGCTCTGTTCGTGTCTGGTGAAAGAATAGATTTGACGAAGTGACGTGATTTTTACATTGATGGCTGTACTGCGTAAGAATCTGTTGAACAGATAGGTATCGGTGGGTATTCGTCGATGCTAAACTGTTATAAAACCTGACAAATATCGTACTGTCCTGCACGTAGGTTTTGTATAAGTATTTTTATTCGCTATACTTGGAGATATTTATATTTATATTTATATTTATATTTATATTTATATTTATATTTATATTTATATTTATATTTATATTTATATTTATATTTATATTTATATTTATATTTATATTTATATTTATATTTATATTTATATTTATATTTATATATATTGCTTCTTTCTATCTCTTGTTCTCTAATCGAACTGGCAACAACGTCTATCCTCTCCAATTATCTCGCAGATGTAATCTTGCTCATTGCATCAACTGGAGAGCAAAGGCAGGAATACGACAGTCAGCAAACAATTGTCCGTCTGTATAAATAATCAGCCAATCGTACTGTCTTAACATCGAAGAGCTCGTAAGAATGATCCTAATCATTGAAATATCTTCGTATTAACTAGCCATTTGATGCAATAAATACGTCGCGGATAGACGCTGAAGACGTTGGAAGAAGTGAAAGATAAATTGAATATTTCTCGTATCATACAGAAACGAAAAGTAAAGGCGCTTCAAATGTATTAACTCGAAGGGCTTGAGGCACTAACAATCTAATCTCCGCCAGTCCAGCAATGTTACCGTAATCGTGAAGTTAATATCTCAATTTTTGTGTGGATCATCTTGTTACTTTATAATGCATTTATGAACTTGGGGCAGTAACAATATATCTTGGTAGAAATGCAGTTTGGGGTATAAGATTCGTTTACGCGCGCTATCGATTCGCTACAAGGCCAGTGAGCGCGGCTGACGCGGTTCCTCGCGTGAAGTGACGCTTAGCTACGCTGTTCAAAGTAGAGGACGAGGTCTTCGACACTCGCATTGACATAAACAAATCCTTGAGTTTGTGGAACACATTAACGCATTTTATGAGTAAACTTTCAAAATAATTTGGCATAAATATTTTCTTTGTTTTCCGGGAAATCCTCAATTTTCTTGTCTCCTGTTAGCCCCACAAGGCTTTTTCCCTCCAAGATAACGCGCGCGTGAACGAACCGTATCACAAACTGCATTGCAGTCGAAATCTTCAACCAAAATCAAGATTTACGGTTAGCGGGAGATCTGGTGAGCTTCTGTTACTGCCTTAAAGTCCTTCAAAATTGTCCATGGCATAACCCCATTGCACGCAAAGGTCCGCTATGCTGAGGTGCGAGATGTTGTTGCAGCGACCTCCCGCTGGCGGCGTTGGCCGCGTGGCACGACCTGCCGCAGAGCGTACGCGACGATCCCTACCTGTTGCCATTCCGCAGGGGCTACGAGCGACACATGGGCGCAGCGGCGACGCCCGGGCCCTCCAGCGCACCCAACCCCGCGCCCGCCCCGCCCCCCGCCACGTAAGCATTCGCTTTATTATCTGATGGAGCATATGAGAATTGCTTTTTCGCATTTTGATAACATACTTCCGGGCGCGTCAACTGCTAAGGACCTTAATCACTTACATGTAGTGCATTTTTTAGCGCAGGCGGTGGCTGTGACCTTCCA